CTGAGTGTCTTTGTCCACATTATGTCCTTGTGAGGTATAGCCAGCATCTGGTGCCTGCCTGGCTTTTTGTCAGAATAGCCAGAGTGAGTTGGGAAATTTCATATAATTTAGCGCTTAAATGGCCCCGTTTTCTGTATCTCTTCTTTATTTTCCAGGAGATTTAATGCGTTCTATTTTGCCATAACGTAAGCCGGATCTAAATGAGAACCACCGAGGTAGGAAATAGCTGCGGTGATAATAAGGTCGAGAATAGAGTAATAAACACAAAAGAAAAGGAACAAAACGGACAAGAATGCCATAACAGGTGGCGCTGAGAGGAGGCGGGTAAGCATGTGCCCAAATACCCACACTGACCACCGCCACTTAAGTAGCAATTATTGGCAGGGACGGTGTCTAAATTTGGCCTCCTGAGCTTGCGCCTAAACACACTGCTTGTGCATGTGTGTGTGCTTCGTATTTGCATTACTTGTCCCTGTAATTAGATGTTTAGTAAGCGTAATAGTTAGGATTGTTATTATGATGTCCGTGGGGGTTAGTTCGCGATATACCTTTCCTTATATTCATTACTCCTTATAATGATTCTAAAAATAAAACAATCATTTTCGTTTGGGGTTAAGTTGACACCCCCTACGCATTTCCTCACTAGCTTTTCTAACAGTACAAATAACACAACACCAATCAACTACATACAGCAACAAAAACAAACACGCAAGCACACAAACGCATCCCTATCTCTACATCCACGCACCAAACACCCTCCCTCGCTATTGATATTCACTTGATAGGTTGCAGCAAGAGCAGAATCATTAAAATGTAGCGCCGAGGATCGTTCCATAGTCAGAGCCAAGGTCGTTTCCATGTCCGGGTTGTTTTGTCACTGTCTGCTCATTGTCACTGTCACGGAGTACTGCCGCAGCAACTGTCACGGTGGTCTTTTAGTCAGGAGAGTGGAGTTCCGTGTATTGATATTGTTGTTATTGTTGTATTTGTTAGTAGCAGTTGTGAATGACGTAGAATAAACGGCTTTGGGATAAAATTACATTGATTTATTTTTCGCGTCATGGCAGCATCAGGTACAAACACAGATAAACAATTCTATCACGTGGTTATATCTTTGATAGTCAATACCTGTGTCTATGCCTATTAAAGATGTATGTTCAGGAGTATGGGAGGTAACAGATGTTTGACAAATATTATAATCGATGATATGACAGTTTCAAGTATGATTTTGATCACTATAAACTTTACAACAATTCTGTGCCTCCTTTTATTTTTATTTTTTTTTTTTTGCGTTTTTTTATATAGTTGCAATAAATACGGAGCAACAAAAGCAATTCATTCTTTTTCCTTTTTTCTGCCAGACATCTCATCTAATCATACGAGACTCAAGAGAGCGTCTTATTTCCTCTCCTCCTCTCTTCCCCACTCCCCCTCCCCTTCCCCTTACCCCACCATTTACCCCTCTTCGCCTCCCCCCCCCTATTTCTTCCCCTTGCCCCTATCGTACCTTCCTCTCCCTCATCTTCACAACTGATTTACTTCCCCCTCTTCTTACCCCTTCTTAATTCTTTCCCCTTCCCCACGAGTTCGTTCCCCTCTCCTCCTCTTCTCTTCTCCTCTTCCCCCTTCTTCCCTTCTTCCACCCTTCTTACTTCCTTCCTTCCCCTCCTTTCCCCCGTTTCCTCCCTTACTCCCCCCCCCACTTCCCCTACCCCACGACTTCCCTCCCTCCCCCCTCCCGTCCTTCCCCTTTTCCCCTACCCCTCTCCTTCTCCCCCCCCCACCCTCCTTCTATAGATATTTCCCC